CCTGTATGGGAAGCTTTTCAACATTAGAAACATTAGTGCAGTGGTTTATGTTAAAATAAACCTTTGGGTTAAGTTGTCACAAGCGGGTTTTTCTTGTGTTTCTTATGAATTTGGTCTTAAATTTTTATTTCAAGTGGCATTAAAAAGTCTTGAATTTAACTTGCCTTATGCTGTAGCAACCCTGAACAAAATTGATAGCTCCCCTACGCTGGTGAAGATTCTCAGTCATCCAGGTCATAATCTTTCCAAAAAAAAAGTTTAAATAAACAATCAACTGGTCTTTGCTCCCAAGTTTGAAGACGTTTCTCTTCCATCCAGAAAGCTTTTTCAGTTCAAAATGTCAGAAATAGCGCTGAGTTCCAGGTTTTATAGAGTAGCCTAACAGTCTTCTTTTTGCTTAGAAAACCTGAAAACAGACCAAGGGATTGTTGTTGTTTTTTTAAACTTTTTTGGAATAGCTCCCCTAGTTCATTTAGTGTCAATCAAATTAATAATAAAGACATTCTTAATATTTTTTTCTTATTAGCATTCAAAGCAATCATGCAGTATAATATAATTTCATTATTATTTATTATTCTGCAGCTCCTCTGCGTTATAATAACAACATCAACGGTTAATTGATGCCTCACTAAACAGATTATGGCAGTAACTACGCTGATGGATAAAACAGTTTTATAATATGCTGCAGCACAGAACCAACAAATATTCTATATTATCATATTTACATATTTTATTGAGCATGCATGAAAACAAGTATAATTATGAATAAATGCAGGGTTTAAATCATCTTTCTACATTTCAAAGATTTACTGAATTGTGAGCTATGGCCTTCAGTATTAGACGTTTGCCAATGGTCTGTGTCTTGTGACACAAAGTACTAAAAAATGACAAACTGATAAATGCTTTTCTGTCTCTTAAGATGCTTTGTAGGCCATTAAAGAAAGATAGAACTACGAAACCCTGAGGCATTAAAAAGAAAGAAGCATGTTTCTCCTGTTTGAAGATGTCATCCTTTTAGCAGCAGCTGGTGTTACTGTGTTAACACATAGCACAACCTTGTTGACAGTCTTTGAGCTAACTGTAACATAAAACCTCTGTAACATGAGCAGCTGATCTCTGTTTAGCAACTTTTTCCATGTAACCCAACAGTTATATGGAA